CATTTTTTCGCATGTGAAATGCTGTGTAAGAGCATCGGAGGAAATAAACGACGGCCACCTGAGCGCAAACCCTCGTACGAGGAGCTGTAGAGACGCATAAAGGAGGGATGGAAAGGCGAAGGAGAAAAGCTTGCGTGTAGACATCGCTGGAAGGCAACGGCTTACGAACTCCAGGCACCATAGATTCACGGCGTCGCTTCACCACGACGATACAATACTTCGTTAAATTACTAAGCCGACAGTGCGGTGAAAGCTGCAAGCTAACCAGAACCAATCAAACGCCTTCCTTTTATCACCTGACCCGTCGCTTTCTTTGCGCGTAGGTATGAACAAAAACGTAGTTACGTGGCGAACAATAGACATGTGACTGCTCGAATAAACACGTAGCTTCCACCGTTCATTTCTAAGCTGACAGCGCGTCAGCTTAGGGATGAATGGCTCATAGGCTACAGGGCGACGGGCACGTCACCAGTGAGTTAAATATAATTTAAAACCTGAGAGAACATGGAAAACAGATCCTCAGCCTTGTACTTTAGTCAAGCAAAGTTAAATCGTAAGTTTAGACCATTGTGATGAACAAACAATCACAATAAATAGTTATTTCCAAATGCCTTGACAAAGCCCCAGAACGTTTCGTGCGTCCTCGAGCAAAGTAGGTGCCGCTCGCGGTATGCATCGCTGCCTTCTCTTGGAAAATTTATGCGGAGTTCAACCTACAAGCAGATATCGCCTCCCGTATGTTAGGAAAGTACACAATTTAGGAGGCTTGCACCCTTCCTGAACTGTCTACGCTTCTGCTTAGCAATCATCCAGGCCCCTTGTGCGACAATGGGCAGAAACTTGGGCTCTTCGGGTATTTGCGGAAAATGCTCCTTGAAAGGAATGACCGAGAAAAGGTCAACTATTAACGGCGAGATATTTCGCTAGCGCCATCGTTCGGTTACCTTTGGTAACGTCATTACCTTGTGAACAACAAGTTCGATGGTGTTCTTAATGGGCATGGTGCAAGCCTGAAATCATAGCACTCTCAAAGCAACACAGCCAACACCGTCAGAATGGAAGGTCTTGCATTCCTTTTATTTCCGTCGATGAGACATCTTTTGCTGACGTCATAGTCAGCATTCGGCCAATTATGGTGGGCCGACCACAGCAACGTTTTCGATCGCTCACGTCGCCACTACTCGGCGACAATATTTCGTGGCGATGCAGTGGAGGGTACAGGCACGTGTTCCCTTTCTCATTTTGAACGCTGAATAAAGCTGTTCGCGGTCTCTTCTCCTATCCACTGCATTGCCAAATAGAATTAGCGTCCGAGGCGGAAGGGACACGTTTCACGTGACGACTCCTTGCAAGACCGAGCTCCCATTGCAACTTCTAAATCAGGAAGACGGAAACATATCACACTTTTAGTGGGAACCCTCTCCGTTGAATGAACAGAGAAACCGGTGAGTCGACTGTATTTCTGAGTCACAATTAAAGAACATCATGTTTTATATTTATGTCGTGTGCGCCAGCGAAACCACTGTTCAGTATGGTTCACTTTGAGGCGCATAAGGCTGTTGCGGTATAAACGGGAAGATGTAAGTTTTGGTACACATAGAGCAACTCAGCTCTTTCACGTGATATCACTGCGGTGGCGCTGCTGTCGGCACTGCGCATGCGCAGCGCCTCGTTTCTCCCTAATCTGGTTCCTGCACACGCGCTGTGTGAGCAAACGAGGGCTTGTTTTGTAAACACTGTGTTGGTGTATACGGTAAATAAAATGAGCACGAATTACTGCCTCAAGGTATTCAAAAGTAATGTCAAAGTAATTCCAAAGTAATGTCATTACTTTTCGAAAGTAATTGTAATGCAATGTCATTACCTTTAGCCTGCGGTAATTTGTACTGTAATTTAATTGCATATTTGCAGTTTCAAGAAAAGTAAGTAGTGATGTAGTTTAATTACTTCTTGAAAGTAATTTTGCCATCTCTGATCCCCAGCTAAACGCTCACGCAGCTTTCGGTTACATGAGCCGCGCGCTGCGTCAGAAAACAATCAAACAAATTGTTGTGTAGTTACCGCCAAGCGCGCGCTACTGGGACTATAGTGGCGGCGCTTTAGTTCCTTCGCTCTTCTTCTTTATCGTCGTGTCAGTTTGATAGCACGAGAGGTTCGTTCTAGTTCCACGCTCCATGGAATAAACCTCGGGCCATGGTCCTCCGGTCTACTGTGTCTGTTGCACCGTCAAGACACGACAACTTGGCGACGAGGAGGCTTCGCTGAACTGCTACGCGGAAGCCGACATGGCAACGGGGGATCCGGCAGCGACGGGTCAAGTGCCGCAAGTCTTCGGCCGACTGGGACACATCGAGCCCTTCGACGAATCGACGAGCGACTGGCCGTCGTATGAGGAACGACTCACGTCGTTTCTTCTGGTCAACCGAATCGCCGAGGACGACAAGGTACACGCATTTTTGAGTCTCATAGGCCCGAAAACGTACAGTCTTCTGAAGTCATTGACCGCACCGGAGTTGCCAGCAAGAAAAACGTTTGATGAGCTAAAGAAGCTTTTGGGGGATCACCTGGCACCGAAGCCATCGGTAATCAGCGAGCGCGCAAAATTTCACAGAAGAACGCAGCTCGAGAACGAATCTGTAGCAGCCTTTGTTGCAGAATTACGCAAATTGGCGCAAACCTGCGACTTCGAAGCCGCACTTGACCAGTCCTTGAGGGACCGTTTCGTCTGCGGTTTACGCAGAGAGGACATTCAACGTGTGTTGTTCACAGAGGACAACAAGCTAACTTTCCAGAGAGCCGTCGAAAAAGCGCTAGCCATGGAAGCAGCAAAAAAGAACGTCGCTGAAACACATGCGTCAGAACCTAAAGTTTCAGACGTACACAAGGTGAAGGCCGTCGCGGAGGCGAACGTGACACAGCGAGAATGCTATCGCTGCGGCTCAGCGAAACATGGAAGCCGGGTATGCCCGCACATTGCGGATATCTGTTTCAAGTGTAACAAGAAGGGGCATGTCCAAAGAGTGTGTCATGCGGACAAAGAAAAGAAATCGAAGTGGACGCCACGTAAGGCGATGAAGAAACTGGTTCCTGTTCAAGACCCAGTTGGCATGAAGGAAATGACCACGTCTGGCATGGAACCAATAAAACTCACAATAAACGTGCAGGAAGTTGCCTTGGAAATGGAACTGGACACAGGAGCAACTGTTTCTGTCATGTCACTGCAACAGTTTCGTCAGATATCTCCTTCAACAAAGATCATGCCGACGACGCTCAAGCTGCGCACGTTCAAGGGAGACATCGTTCAGCCCGTCGGGGTTGCTCACGTCGACGTGCAGTACGGACAGCAGAGGACCGAGCTTCCCCTCTACATCACAAGAGAAAAGGGACCACCTCTGCTCGGCCGGCAGTGGCTGCAAGCGATCCGATTGGATTGGAACCGGATTTTCGGGATCAACAGCATTGCCAGGTCAGATGTTTTGGCGCTTTCCGAACAACGCACAAAGCTTGGTGTGCTTCTGGACAAGTACCAAAATCTGTTCAATAAAGACCTGGGAACTATTGCTGAAGAAAGGGCAGAGCTGACGCTAAAACAAGGTCACGTACCGAAATTCCTCAAGGCAAGAAACGTGCCGTTTGCCCTACAGCCTGCTGTCGAGGCTGAACTAAAGAAGATGCAAGACATGGGCGTCATAACACCAGTCACAACGAGTGATTATGCGACGCCGGTTGTGCCAGTAGTGAAGAAGGACGGTGGAATAAGGTTGTGCGGCGACTACAAGACCACCGTGAATCCTTGCCTTGACACTGACCAGTATCCGCTCCCGAGAGTCGACGACTTGTTCGCAGCGCTTTCAGGAGGCCAGGAATTTTCGAAGATTGATTTAAACCGGGCTTATCACCAGGTGGTGATGGCTGAAACGTCGAGCAAGTACCTAACTTTAAATACACACAAAGGACTGTTTGCCGTAAACAGGTTACCGTTCGGAGTCTCCTCGGCACCAGCCATTTTTCAGAGAATCATGGACACAATGCTGAAAGATCTGAAAGGCGTCAGTTGCTACTTGGATGACGTCCTCATCACCGGTAGGACGCCGGAAGAGCATTTGGCCAATTTGGAAGCAGTCCTAAAGCGGTTGTCAGAGCGTGGAGTTCGTGTGAAGAAGGAAAAATGCGCGTTTTTCCAGAAGGAGCTGCGTTATCTGGGCCACGTGATCAGTGCTGCAGGTGTCAGCACGACGCCAGAGAAGATCGAGGCTCTGCTGAAGGTTGCTGCACCCTCAAGCAAGCAGCAGCTCCAGTCATTCCTGGGTATGGTAAATTACTACGGGAAGTTTGTTCCACGATTATCCACCCAGGCGAGCCCGCTCTACAGGCTGCTGCGTCAAGACCAGCGCTGGTGTTGGGACAAAGCGTGTCAAGCAGCGTTCGAGGAAATCAAGACAGCGCTAGCAACACCATCGATTCTGGCACACTACGACCCAAGTAAGCCATTGCAAGTGGCGTGCGACGCATCCCAGTATGGCATAGGCGCTGTTCTGTCTCATGTGACTGAAGATGGAAACACTCGTCCTGTGGCGTATGCATCACGCACACTGACCGAAGCTGAAAAGAAGTACAGCCAACTTGAAAAGGAGGCACTAGCCATTATTTTTGGGATCAAAAAGTTCCACTTATACATCTATGGCCGAGTTTTCACTCTCGTCACGGATCACAAACCGCTACAGACTATTTTGGGCCCAAAGACAGGCATTCCGTCTATTGCGGCAGCACGGTTGCAGCGCTGGGCTGTTACCTTGTCAGCGTACAAGTACTCGTTGGTGTACAAGAGATCCAGTGACAATGCAGAGGCCGATTTTTGCTCTAGGTTCCCTCTCGAAAGTGGGAAAGACGATAGTTGCGAGGGCGAAGAGTCCTTCTATGCACTGCGGCTAGAGTCAATGCCGGTGTCCTCTCAGGAGATTGCACGCGCTACGTCGCGCGAACCGTTACTTTGTCAAGTACTTGAATACACAAGCATGGGTTGGCCGACGCACGTGCAAGAACAACAACTCAGACCGTTCTTTGACAGACGCTTGCAGATGAGTGTTCATCAAGGGTGCCTAATGTACGGCATGAGGGTTGTTGTTCCGTCCCAGCTGCAGGAGCCCGTGCTCGACGAACTGCATCAAGGCCATCCCGGCATCGTGCGAAGTAAGGAGCTGGCTCGCAGCTATGTTTGGTGGCCATCAATTGACTCAGACCTTGAAAGAAAGGTACGAAGCTGCCAAGCATGCCAGGAACAGCGTAATGATCCATGCAAAGCGCCTCTTCACCCCTGGGCATGGCCGACAGCACCGTGGAGACGACTACACCTAGACTTTGCAGGCCCGTTCCGCGGAACCATGTTCCTAGTCGTGGTGGACGCGCACTCAAAGTGGCCAGAGGTGTTCACCATGCAGAGCACTACGACCGAGCGCACTGTGAGGTGCCTACGTGAACTTTTCTGCAGGTTCGGAATTCCGGAAACAATCGTTTCAGACAACGGGCCGCAGCTGGTGTCCGAGGAATTCAAGGTGTTCATGAGGAACAACGGAGTCAGACATGTCGTGGGCGCCCCATACCACCCGAGCACAAACGGCCTGGCAGAACGGTTTGTGCAGACACTGAAGTCTGCACTACGCAAGTCATCCGCTGGTGAGTCTCTGGAAGAAGCATTGCAACACTTTTTGCTGACGTACCGGAATACTCCACATTCAACAACAGGAGAGACGCCAGCAAACTTGTTGATGGGCAGAAGATTGCGTTCCAGGTTGGATGTAATCAAGCCTACGGTAGAGGGGAAAGTGATCCACAAGCAATTTATACAAAGTAAGCAACGGAGGACAAGCAGAGAAGAAATCTGCCCTGGTGACAATGTCCTAGTGCGAAATTACTGGAGTTCGCCGAGGTGGTTACGTGGTACCGTCCTCAAGAAGACTGGTCCAGTATCTTACCAAGTCCAGGTTACCACGCCTCGAGGCAAGTTCATCTGGCGTCGGCACCTCGATCAACTTTTGAGCCAAACACGGCCAACGGCAACGCCGGTACCTTCGGACACCGACGACGCTGAGGGGTTCCTGGTCTTTTCACCAGGCGAGCCAAGTGTCCCGGCCACGGTACAAGAGCATGGGCCACAGCAGCCTCACACCATCCCGCAACGGGATCCTGTACCTCCTACAGGCCGATCTACTTCTGAAGGACGCTACCCATCGAGAGAACGGCGTCCGCCTGACAGATACCAAGCTCGCTCCTAACTTTTGTATAATACTGCCGTTGGCGCTGCTACGTAATTAAAGGGGGAGGAGTGTTGTGTAGTTACCGCCAAGCGCGCGCTACTGGGACTATAGTGGCGGCGCTTTAGTTCCTTCGCTCTTCTTCTTTATCGTCGTGTCAGTTTGATAGCACGAGAGGTTCGTTCTAGTTCCACGCTCCATGGAATAAACCTCGGGCCATGGTCCTCCGGTCTACTGTGTCTGTTGCACCGTCAAGACACGACACAAATCATGTTGTCTTCATAGGTTTCCTTCTCAAGTGAGCTGCTAGGAGCCTGATGGTTGGATTCCCCCCATAGGCTTCGTGGCGATATATGCAGCGGAAGACTGCTTTCATAGAAGAGAAACCACGCTATCTAATATTCAGCGTAGCCTACAGCGAAGTACCGCTGAAATGCTTACCTATTTTTTAGTCGCCGATCGGTGCTTCATCCTGAACTGAGTTAGCATTTCTTCTTTTCCCAGAGTCTTGCTAAGATGATGTGAACCATATCTGTAGATTTTTGCAACAAAGTATCCTCTACTTTTATATATATACCGTTTTATTCCTAGATTTAGCTTCACTTTGCGCTTTATTTTTTTTCCTGGACGCTTCACCGCAAGAGGAAAAAAGATCTCTCGAGAGCCGCTTCCATTTCGGCAAACTTTCAGCGGAGATCACACATCTCCCCAAGTGCTGGCCGAACTCGCATTCGACTTGCAAATTCGATTTTGAATCCACACGAGCCGGACCAAGTCTTGGCCGAAATCTTTTAGGAAAACGCACTATTGGTCAAAGGGACCGAGAAATAAAAACCACACCTAGAAAGAAAGGAAGAAAGAAAGAAGGACAATGAGAAGGCACTACGTAACTTAAAGAAATAAAAAAAACGGAAAACTTAATAGATAAAGACGACACCGTCGTACAACTGGTGTGGCCGAAGAAGGCCAACAAGTGTATGATCGCGTTCGATATCCGATAAATATCAATAAAAAATACGCTATACTAGGTCTACACCGCAAAACAGCGCCGGTAAAGGGTGCGCATCATTTACCCCAAAAACTGCGGAACAAGTACAGCACGTTAGCAACTACCTTGAAAGTCACTAAACAAAACCCAAAGAAAGGCGTTCGTAAAACAAAAACAACAAAAACTGTATATCTATACACCAACTCATGTTTACAAACTAACCGGAGCGCCCCTAGCGGACGCCACCGACGCCGCGCATGCGCGATGAGACTGTGAGCATAAACCTCGGCGTCGCCCATAAACAAACCATTGGAATGGGATGTTGTCGGCGTCGGTGTAAATCCCCGCGCTCTTTTTCGAGTTAGAATTGTTGATTCCGCGTCTTCCTGGCAATGTCTGACTACTTGAGCGGCCTCAGCGAAATTAACGAGGCTCGTTAAACCGCAAAAATCGGCGTGAATAATGTAATATACGGAGATTCATTCCGCGTGGACTCCGCAGAATGGACGCCAAAGCATTATTCACATGGTGAGGTTCTGCTCGCTATTTTCAGTCATAACGTCGCTCGGGCTGCAAAAGCCTGAATCCAAGCTGATATGTCGACCTCGATACTGAAAATCGCAAGTAGAATCGGACCGAGTGAATCAGGCATAACAATTCGGTGATACCCACTGGTAACAATTATCAACATCTCCTTATATCAACTGTTTACACCAAGCCTACATACCCGAAGCAACCTTCAAACTTAAACGTCTTTCGAGGTCTGCACTTCTTATCACAATTATCGTGTCAACGTTTGGTCTACGGGCCGCTGTCGTTTGAACGAGCAGACGACAAGCAGAAACGTTTAAGAAAGCAGACGACAGCTTGAACGATGAGGCGGCCGTTTGAACGTGATGACGCACTGAGCGTAGTCCGCAGGTGGTCCGTGCAACTTGACGGTTTTTCCGCGTTCATGTTGGAAAAAAACAAATAAATCTGGCGTCCACAAGTATCCGTGAATTCAATCCAAAGTGCTTTCCACCCAAGCAATCGTGGTCCGAAGGCGCCTGTTTTTCCTTTTTCACGGCCCCTGTTCACTTTCTCGGACAAACCGAGCAGACAGAAAACGCATAAAAACTGACCTTCAAACCTTTCCCAACACTTTTGGTAAAGCCTCAGTCGCGGAATTTTGTCGAGAAGGCAGGTTCTTGTCCGGTTTCTTCCAAAGTAACACAGAAATGCATGCGCCCCGTGGCGGCTTCCGCCCACAGCCCCAGACCGGAAGTGCGCTCGACGCGCCACCACCGCGCCGTGAGGTAACAGAGTTGAGTTTGTGTATAGAGTCAACCGCTGTCTTTCAGCTGCTTGTGTCCTCACAAAAATCTATTGTTGTTTTGGCGGGCAGAAGATCTTGGTTTTATGGGTAGCCCATTTTTAGGTTCTAGCCCTACTAGTCCGACAAAGAAAGGGAGCCGGGAAACTCGTCAAAATCCCACTCGTCACCGGAGAATTTATCACAGCACAACTGGACAAAGCCGGCCTTCTGATCTAGGTCATTGCGTCGTAGGAAAACCCGGCATAGGGGGCCCTTCGTCACTGGTCGCAATGTATTCTGTATTTTGGTGGGACTTGGGGTCAATCTTGTTTTACACAAAAATTCTCAACGTCTTCAATTGTTCCTGTAATTGCTTTGCTAACAAAATAAATTTGGATCATACTAACATAGTCTTAGGATACTCGAATTTGGTAAGACTACGTTTAAAGAAACTCGAAACTAACGGACGCTCAAGTTAAGGCTTCTAAATTGTTCTACCAGAAATGTCCGTGGCCATTATACCTTTAAATTCTATTTCGTATTCGGCTGCAATAAAAGGAAGTTCTGGTATTTGTTTGCTATGTAGAGATAAGAAGTATCGCAACGCAATCAATTTAAATTCACGGGTCTGTAAAGGGATACTGAACTGGAATTTGGATTTCGAAAAATAAGGTCGCAGAAGCGTTAAACGGTACGCTACGAACTCCAAGACATTGCTTATGCATCGGTGTCTCAAACGGATGGTCGTACTTTTGGAAAATAAGGCCGCGATCAGCGAGGGCAATGACGCCATTGACCTTCTGGAAAATTCGTGAATGAGGGGAAGCGGTCTCTCTTCTCTCCTCCCTTCGGTTCACCAGCTCGACGGGACGTAGCGAAGATGAGAGGGAATGAGAAGCGTGACGTGACTTGTCTCGTCGGTCATGTTTAATCACACAATTCTTTTCCAAAAACACGGCGATCCGTTAGAGATATTACCGTATGAGTGATGTTTTGGGGTTTTGCAACGTCCCGCTTATCCGTCCAGCCTTGTTTTGTGAGCTCGAAATTTCAGTTCACTATCCATTAGGATTGTGGTCGTCAGTGGTACCCATACTCATCTTAGGGTAAAACAGACAACGCAACTGAGCTTCGTCAGAGCATAAAAAGTAAAACAGAAATATATATTATTAGGTTAAAGAGTGAAAGTATGCACAAGCGTTACGGAGTTGCCACTTCGGAGTTGGAATTGTTCCGGAATCATTCCGCACTTTCGCGACCCCCTGAATGGAATGGCGGCAGCGCTGGAGAGATTGGAATGGGAATGAAATTAGGTGCCTTTTGCCTGGAATGCAGTGGGATTGAAATGGCCTTTGTTCTTACGCAGGCTGTGTCGATTTTCACCTAGGGCAAACGGGCTGATGGCACAGTTCGCTAGCGCATAGAAGGTTGCTCTTGAAACAGCATCATTAAAAAAGGGGTGACTGAAGGCTTGATTGTCTCACTGGTTTGTGCTCCTTCGAGGATGAGAATGGCGTGCGCTTAGCGCCCTTAGTACCAAAACTGAATGGTTGTAGACGAATAAGGTGTGTATCATTTCTGGCACTGCGAAACGCGACAAAACGGCTGCTGTAATCATGCGTGATTAGCATGTGGCTTTTAACGAAGGTGTAGAACCGAAAGCGAATCGAAAACCTGAGCAAAACCGTTAGTTTTAACTGAAACGGAAAAAAATGTAACCGAAATCAAACATGTGATACTGAAACCGAACAGGAATGGAACCCTAATCTCATGTGGCGGTTTTCTGCTCATTGGAAACGGTTCGACGTACAAAGAAAGAAATGTGAACCCTGCCTTCTTTGCCGGCGGTGGCGCAAAGTCAATATATTCGCGACGGTGGTGACAGCAGATCAGTTTTGACTAAACAAACAGGAGCGCCTTAGAGAGAGCACAATAAAAATAAAACAAATAAGTACATTTCATGTCTTGCAGCGCGAATCGGCTTTGGCGGGTCAGCGTGGAGGCGTACACTTTTATATGTCTGACCATGGCGAGATGATAAAGAGCGATTCTTTGTGTGTTGGGTTTGTGTTTGTCTGTGCTTGTTTCCCTCTCGTGCTGCTAAGCAATATTCCTCAAGGAAGGAGAATGCAAACATAGACATCAAAATATAGACAGAAAGCTCACGGCTGTCGGCGCTTTTGTACCGCGGTGGCGAAATCTGGTGGCGCCAAGAGGTGAAGCCGAAACGCGCGTGACACTGCGGCGTCGGACACCGTGACGCCAGTTGCCGACAGCTCTGGGCGCTGCTAGAATGCATTTTAAATATTTGGTGCGTGCGTTTTTGAGAAACGGCAAGTCGGTTGTTGTCTACTTATGTCCTTCATTTGTTTTAATCGTCTTTCGACCGGCCTTCGTTGTCTTTTTTGTCGTTTCACCTCAGTCGTTCCAGTAAGTCGTTCGTACGTTCGGTGTGGGCTGTTTACCATTTCGATCTGGATGGGCATTGTACCGGCGTGCGCTGTTGCCAGTACTTCATGATGCCCGCTAAAGACCCCAGAAGAGCGGTCGTACTTCACTAGCTAAATGTTTCATGTACAGTGGGTAAAAATGTCACCATAATCTCGCAGTCTAAACTCCTGCTGTCTCAATAACCAATTGATTTGTTTTATGTGGGTAGTTTGCGAGTACGGTGCTACCTTCACGTGTACCTGCAAGTGATGGCTGATTGACTTCGCGTGAGTACCGTCCTTTGGTACTGCTTTCAAGCGCTCGCACTATCATGTATTTTAATAGA